TCTGGAGTTATTTGTTAAAATGTTTCAATCTGCAGGTTCAGAGGCCTGCAGCCTCAGGCAGGGAAGGTTGGTTTCCTCCGTCACTGAAGCAAGCAAGCCTCGTGTTAGTTTCAAGCTGCCTGGCTACCGGCCGCCATCTTGGCTGACAGTTAATTTGCATATTTCGCTGATTAACCAATGAAAAGGGTAGCAGTCGTACGCCAATTACCATGTTTCTCTTTAATTAGTGTAGATACTAGAGGCCTGGTGCACAAAATCCATGCACTCGCCGGTGGGGGTTATCCCTCAGCCCAGCCTGCACTCTCTCTCAGTCAAGGAGCCTTCAGGGGATGTCCAACTGCTGTGGAGGCTGGAGAGGCTCCTGCCATCGCCACTGCACTCACCAGCCATGATCCCAGCTTCTGGCTGAGCAGCATTCCCCCAGTGGAAGTGCACTGACCACAAGGGGACAGCTCCTGTGTTGAGCGTCTGCCCCCTGGTGGTCAGTATGCGTCATAGCGACTGGTTATTTTGCTGTTTGATCAATTTGCATACTAGCCTTTTATTATATAGGATTATATATAGGATGTTTCATAATATACCAGAATAAAACTGGGAAACTAAATTTTCTAGTTTCTTTCAATAATATGGTTTCATTATTTAATTCAAACTTGGAAGTTCTAAAATTAGGTATGCCTTATTCAAATAATAAGTAAGTAACAGATAAGGTATTTCGGTTGTCAATATCGTAATTGCTCTTCTTACCATATAACTACAGAGTTAAATAAATTGTATTTCTCACTATTATTTGTAATCTATGTACTAATCAGTGCTTCTAAATCAAATGGTCCTCAGAGGCATGGATTTATTCCAATGAAACTTTAAGTACAAAATCAGATAGCCATATTTGGCCCACAAGCCCTAGTTAAACCCTGTACTCAACTAACATTGTTATGCAAATCCAAGTGCTGTTTTTGTTTAATGGCATTTATTTTAACAAAAGAGACACTGGTCCTCAAAAATCAAAACTTAGGAAAACAGAAAAATCATTTATTATATTTTCGTTATCTTGTTTCTAAGCTAAATTATTTTCTGAAACACTACTCATGCTAACTATTTATACTAGAACATCTGACAAATGAAATTTGTTCTTCGATTTCTTTTCTCAAGATTACATCATTTTTGGAAATAAAATATGGAATAGAACAGTCATTTTCAGGCTTGATTCTATATTAAGCATGTCAAAATTGAATATTAACTGTAAAAATAATTTAATCAAGCCTGAACAATTTTATGTTCTCTAAAAATCAAAGTCGTATAAAACCAATTATAATACCCCCACACAAGAAGAATTCCTTCCAAGTGGTTCATTGTATTAAATATTACCCATGGGTACACTATAAAAATGCAGTAAAGATGTTTAGACCAATGAACTGAATTACTACAAAACGAAGATTTGTAATTTACACTGAAGTCCACATAACATACCTTTCCAATAAATCTCTGCTTTCTTGTATGTCTCTAGTGGAGAGCGTAAGAAGCATAAGATTAGCATAGGCCAGAAGTAAGTCTTTATTGGTTGCTTGCCAGTTACTTTTATCAGAAGATTCCAGATATTCCTATTTTGTAGAAATAACAATAGGTTATAAAACTTATCAACTGTTATAAAACTTATCCATTTATGCCTACAAATTCCTTTGTCCTTTCCTATTTGTAAAACCACATTTTTACATCAGCCTATAAAAACAACATATAGCTATATAAGTACATACACACAACACACACACATAAATATGTCAATTTTATCTTTCCAAACTATCAATTACAAATTGAGAACATCCTAATAAAAATTTCATTTCACAGGTGCTGTACATAAATAAAAGAAATTTTTATCTTGGGGAGCACTGCTTAAAGGCATGTATGGTAATTATCTATATAGAAGTGTAGAGACCCAGCAATGTTCACCTACCTTAAGGGTTTGTACAACACACAAATTCCATTCTAAACTTGAACGCAAAGCTACGTTTCTCTCTGCCTCGTGGCAGTGCGCCACAGCATCCTTCAATCTTTTATTTGAGCGATACAGCTCTACTAGTCGAATGTTCACATAGACATCATCAGGTCTTGCATAAAGTTCTGACTGAATCAAGTCAAAAAGTTTATTCCATCCATCTTCACCTTTACAATCTAAAAGCTGTTCCTAATTTAAAATAAAAAATCATTAATTTAGAAAAACACCTGTGCAATTTTAAACACATCATGGCTCCTGTGAGCACCATTCTACCGTGTCTAGCTTCAGTAAATTGAAACCAGAAATATTATCCTACATACTTTATTAGCCCCTTCAGAGTTGAAGCTAAACCTCAAAAAAGTTATGTGCAAACATCTGCAATTATATAGTTATCCATTTCACCTCAAAGACTACTAGGACTACTACCCATCCTTGTACACCCATCCCAGGCATTATCAGAGCCTAGGCCTCCCATCAATCCTCATACCAGGTCCTTATTCTCAAACTGCTCTGGATCTCCCTAAATCTTACTCAGTCCCTTGCCCACTATGCTCCTACACTGGAGCTCCTACTGTTCACTATCTTCTCAGTGTCTTCACTCTCTGGTCTTAACTGAATGGTGTATAACTTGAGATAGCCACCATCATTTCTCTGCCATGGAAGCTTTTTCTCTGCTAATCTACATACAAGTAGAGGAAGTGGGGTTTGTGACCTATTCACACCCACTGTCACTTCCAAATAATATTTCCTCATACCTGTTTAGAACCCTGCTCTCTAAAGGACATGCTATCCAGCTACTCCATCTATTCCTCCTCATTAGCAACTGAATAGAAAACTCTCCCTTCATCCTTTACTGTCATTGGTTATTATCAATTACTGTCATTATCAACTGAAAGACGTACAAGGTGTATAACTGCCTGGCTACTCAGTTCTTTAATTACCTCATCCCCACTGGTTCTACAACTCCAGCCCCAGCCATCCATTTGACATTGACGAAGGTCTGCAAAATATGTATTTTGGTCATACCAATCAGACCATCACACTCCTCTTAATCTTCCACCTCACTAGGAACTCACATAACCTCACTGCCATATATATTTACATCTACTACATGAAAGCTCCATTCAATACAGTGACATCACCAAGTCTTAGTTTTCCATAAAACATACACACACACACACACACACACAGTCCTTTGTTAAGTTAAAATGCCATAATCCCAATATCCATAATTACTACCTGCTTACACATCCTCTCAATTAATTCCATGTCTTTCCTTAGAAGAAGCCTATCATCTGTGTTCTCTGTATCTCTACAATAACAGCTGTGCCACTAAGGGCATTTGGAAATTTAGGAAATCTCAAACTGGTAATGCCTAGAACAAATCCTACTGTACCTTTGATAGACTCACTTTCTCCATTCCTTAAAAATATAACTTCATACACCTCCTCTTTCCTCAAATTTCCCAACACTTTCCTTCAACCCTCACTTTCAACTTACGATCACAATTCATTCTTCACTGAAAAAGCTGAAGCCATCAGATGTAAATTCCATTCTGCCATATCTACTTATACTTACTTCTCTCTGCTCCCTTCACCTAGCGAAGACCAAGCTCTCTATAAGAGCTATTTTTTTCACTGCCCTCTCTCCTTACCAATCACGCTACTTCTTCTCGATCACTTCCATAAACTTACACTTGGCCTTTCCATATCTGCAAAAAGCCCTAGATTTCAAGTGTATGTTTAAAAAGAAATAAGATGAACACCAATATGAATGCTTTTCAAAAATTCTACTCTCATACTCAAGATCTCATACCAATATTTTCATTCATTAAATAAATGCCAAAAAACTATTTCCCTTAAGCCTTAAACTTTAAAAACCAGAATTCCTTTGCTAAAAAGTTACACGTAAGAAAGGTTTAGCTTTAAACATCTTTAAAGAGTTATTAAACAAATCCGGGATCCTGCGGAAGCATCTCTCTAACTTTTGATACACGGCAAGAAAAATAATCTCCTATCATTATAAATGCTCCTTAATGTCACTGTCACCAAATGGACTGAACTGTCATGGCCAATAGGGGAACTGTGTTTGAGGCATAACACAAAGATAAGAAATAGGGTAAAGAAATTTACACACTTAGACCTAACATTTTAGATTAATATTTTAAACCCAGCTGCTTCTCGCGGAGAGAAAAAAACTTAATAAGCCTGTATCATGACTGCAGTGGTGATGACATGAATTTATAGATTTTTTTAAATATTTTTTATTAATTTTAGAAAGAGAGGAGGGGGAGGGAGAGAGAGAGAGAAAGAGACATTGATGAGAAACACTGATTGGCTGCCTCTTGCATGCCCCCTACCAGAATCAAGCCACAACCCGGGCATGTACCCTGACCAGGAATCAAAATGGCAACCTTAGTGCATGAGACTACACCTACCAACTGAGCCACACCAGCTGGGCATGAATCTATACATGTAATAAAATTTAAAAGAACTATACATAGACATTGTATCAATGTGAAATTCCCAGGTCTACATTATACTGTAGTTACGTAAGATGTAACCACTACAGAAAGTTGGATGAAGTATACACATGATCTCTCTGTGCAATCTTACAACTTCCAGTGAAAAACCTATAATTATTTCCTAATAAAAAGTTGTTAAAATTCTATCAGAAACATGTATAATGAAGGTAGGTGGTTCTTAAAAACAATATACACTTAAAATTCCATTTAGCTAGCACATTTGAAAAAACTTTATCCAAGAGGTATTTTGCAAACCAGTATATTATATTCAGTAAAGAATAACAATCAGAATTGGTTAATATATAAGCAACAACTTCCTATCACTTTTAGTAATTACCTGTAACATCACAGAGAAACTGTCATTGAAGTTAAGCTTGAAAACCTCACTATCCCATAACACAATCCTTTCCATCTTTAGATAGTAATAACCCTAAATTGTCATCCTATGGATAATTTTTACCAAATGAAATAAAAATTTTATATCGAACAGCTTGATTTAATTATTAGCTCCACCATCTAGTTATAAAACAGTAAATCCCTAAAATGTTAATAATTGAATAAGAGTGAGATACCATTTGTAAAGCATAATAGTGCCTAGTAAGACAGCATATGCACAGAAAGTTTTGAAGAAAAATATTTTTTTGACATTATTTTTTAGAGGTATAATTGACATATGACATTGTATTAGTTTGAGATATACAACATAATAATTTGATATATACATACTGGAAAATGATTTCCACAGTAAGTTTAGGTAACATCACCTCACAGAGTTACAAATTAGTTTTTCTCATGATAGTAACTTTTAAGATCTACTCTATCACCTTTCAAATATACACATAGTATTGTTAATAGTCACCATGCATGCTGCATATTACATCCCCAGAACTTAACCATCTTATCACTGAAAGTTTATATCTTTTGACCACCTTCACCCACTACCAATCAACTACCCACCCACACACACAATATTTTAATGTCTCCTACTGAAAAGTCATTTAACTCCAAATATTAGAAATAGTTGTGACTACCTTTAGTTTTCCCAATGCTTTTATCATGTTTTATTCTTTTTTTTTACCTTTAATTTATAAATTGCAGGACTTCCTGGGAAAAGTTTAGCTGCTCTTTCAACCCAGTATTTTGCTCTTCCATCAGTAACATCATTTTTACAAAGCAATTCTGCAATCTTCAACACAAGATCTTTTTGTGTTGGGTTTAATTCCACTGAACGCTGATATCAGAAAATAAATAATAAATTAGTAGGGTTCCTAAAGTACAGATACTCATATATACACATGAAAAACTCTGTTCCTAAATGATAACATGCTATTTCAAAGTTATTACAATTAAACTTAATGTCCTGAAATATTTTTGAAGGTAAATAAAAAGTATGTTTTTATGAGATATGTCAGGAAGAAGGAAAAAAAGGAAGAAAACCACACATATAAGAACAGCATTTCTGACAACATTAGGCTTAAAATTTATAGGTATTCTTCTTCTCAAAGTGCTAAACTCTTAATTACAAATTATAGCGTACTTTGGACCAAATAATTTAAAATTAGTTCCATGCTGTGCCACTTGTTTTCTTTTGTTTTGTTTTGTTCATCCTCACCTGAGGATATTTTTCCATTGCTTTTTAGAGAGAGTGGAAGAGAGAGGGAAAGACACAGAGAAACATTGATGTGAGGGAAACACATCGATTGGTTGCCTCCTATGCAAGTCCCAACCAGAACCCAGGCCAGGGAGGAGCCTGCAACCAAGGTACGTGCCCTCTGACCAGAATCAAACCCAGGATTCTTTGGTCTGCAGGCCGACGCTCTATCCACTGAGCCAAACTGCTAGGGCTAAGCTGTGTCACTTAATAGTACTGTGATACCTTGTTTTCATGACATCCATAATAAATATCTGAATTATTTATTATATAAATTACGCTGGGCATTGTGTGTTTGGCTGTACAAAGCCTAAATTTTAATCTTATAGTTTACCTTATAACATTCGACAGCTTTGTCTATGTTTTCCTCCACTTCATAAAGAAGACCAAGAAACCTGTGAGCTTTGGGATCCCTTTCTTGCACATTAATATATGTAGATATGTATCTGTTTAAAAACAATATTAAAAAAGTAATCTTTAAATAATCACATTTACAGTTATATTTAAATAACTGAAGGGTATATCTTAAACCAAAGCAACCACTCAACTAATTTGTATTATTATAATTACTGACTACCACTATTTATACTAGAATATGAAGATAACTCAAAGTACTCAAACACAAAAGGATAATACTTAAACACAAACAAACATACAAAGCTGACAACATACTATTACCACTAAATGCTACATTTATCAAATGGTTTTTCCAGTGCTACCCACATATAATAAATGAATACATGAACTGTTTTTTCTTCCTGATTACATTTTGGAAAAACACTAAAGAGTTTGCGTAAAATCAGAAAGTGATGAGAGTAAATATTTTAAGTCATCATAATGTGAATACTAACGAGCAACAATTTCCCAAATAACAACTAAGAGAATGTATTTATCTTAAAACAAGAAAACAATATCTAACAGTATTGTGTATCCAGCTAAACTAGAGCAGAGAAAAAATTACCAAATAACGTATTAAATACAGGTCATTTTCATTTCTTAACAATAAAAAATAAGGAAATATCTTCTAGATCCAGTGAGTAATATCCTAAGGGCAACAATGAAGCAAAAAGTATCATGTTAATAAGGAGGGTTAACAGCCCAATGTTATTAAATAAAAGTGCTCTCACTTTATCAGCATTTCCATCTTCCCATATATGCTTTAATATCTACCTCCCTCTTCATTTCCTCCTTTCCACAACTGCAAATCAGCAAATCAGATCAACAGCCTTCTTGGCCATACTATGTGTGAGACAAAGCCTCAGTGTGACCTACTGAGTAAATTAAAAATCTTTTATACAAGCTATATTCCTGTCCAGAAATCAAAGTTTAATTTTGTATTCACTGCTGTTTTCCAGCTGATTAATGTATCAGATATGTAACCAGGAAGAAATTAAGATACAAGCATGGTTGTCTTTTATTCTACCCCGGAACAATCTTTAGAAAAAGTATTTTAAGGCAAACAATTTGCCTTTGGTAGGCATGCAGAAAATCATTCCAGGCTCAATCTCCAAGGAATCTAGGCTAGTCCTTAAGATCAGTCTTAGTGATGAACCCCTTATTTACAGGACATACTTAGGAAGAACTGCTGAAAAACGGCAACAGTTTTTTACCCATTTCAAAAAAGAACATGATTTTGGAAAACTAAAGCATATTTAGTTTGGTACTTACTTTTTAGCAAGATCATATTCTTTAGCTTCATAGTACAGCTTCGCAAAGTAGAATCCTTTCATTGATTTCTAAAAAACATTAAAAGTTCTTTATTTTTCATATTTTAAATTTTGAAAATTTTTCATAAGAACTAAAAATCTGTTCTAATAAAATTAATATTAATATATTTTATTTTTGTTCACTTAAGAGGTAAATGAAATTGCTTGTAGAAAGGCATGTTTGCTCTGAAAGCCATGATTCCACATAATAATCCTATCTAATAAAAGACAAAAATGGTAATTGGCGTACAACCGATACCCTTTTCATTGGCTAATCAGCGAGATATGCAAATTAACTGGCAGCCAAGATGGCGACAGGCAGCCAGGCAGCTGATGCGAACAGGGAGGCTTGCTTGCTTCAGTGATGGAGGACTACAACGTTCCCCGCCGGCTGCTGCAGGCCTCTGAGCTGCAACTCTAAGTAACTATGTTACAAATATAGAAGCTAAACAAAACCCCAGAAACCTGCTTTAGTCCGTCGGGCTTCAGCCAGCAGGATCGCAACACTGTTTCAAATACAGAAGGTAAAGAAAGGCCAGAAACCTGCTTTCAGCAGCA